GTGATGTGATGCTGACACCTTCAAACCACAGAGAAAACAATACTGATGGATTATTAACTACAAATATTAGTGTTCAGACTAATAATCAGGAGAGCCTCGTAGGTCCACTTCTTCGGGAAGCTTTAGGTGTAGAGGCAACTCATACTTCACATATAGAACCTATTGTGGGTACTACGGTTGATATTCCTTCTACTTCAGCTCTATCACTCAGCAGACTGATTCTTCAGATGAGGAATGACATGTCTGTTCCAGGAGTAAGAAGAACAAAAATGAAGATTTACTTGAACTCAGGAATCTTATGCATGATACTTTGGTGCATTGGTTAATACTGGCGATGACGATCATCTTACCAGCTTATTAGCTTGCTTCTTCTCTAGAACTAGTGGCAGAGGCAAAACCAAATTGGGTTTCTCTCTAGCCACCTGATTCTATGTATTTCGACACTGTTAGGCTTTTTATTTAAGTATTTAATGTATTTTACTGTTTGTTCTAGTTTTGGAACCATTTATGGTCTTTGTGTGGGCAAGGTGTCATGTTTGGGTTCTCCCATACGTTGTATCTGTATCATTCTTTCTATTTAATATATTAACATTTTTTGGCTTTCAAATATATATATCATTAGTTTACTTGGTCTCAAGTTGCATTTCTTTAGTCATCAGGTTCTCTACTCTATTGGGGTCATTCTTGGGGATCCTATGAAGCTAAATCTGCCCATCTTTAACCTAACCAGACCCTCTGTGACCATAATACTTGTGGAAAGTGATATTGCCTTATCTGATATTACTGAAGTCTGGTCGGACACAACTCACAATGGATATTGACAACAAATTGTCCTGGAACATGAACCTTTTTATTGTATCCAGTGTAAGATGTTTGGGCATACCCTTGATAAATGTCATAGGCTCCATCCAAATGTGAAAGTTAAAGCTCAAGTAAACAAGGAGGGGTCTAACACACTGCTATGGACACATCTACTCATCCTGTGGATAAATTTTACACAAGACAGGATTTGTTGACTGATTTGCTTGTGGATCCCCATCTTGCCAATACTGCTTCTATTTCTGAGACTGATGTGATACCGGATAGCTCTGCTGGGCAACCTTCACCATCAAACATTATTGATAACATTACTGAATGATCCTTACCTACAAAGGATAGTGTTCAGACTGGTAATCAACAAAGCCTTGTAGCTCTTCATCTTCAGAAAATATCTGGTGCAGAGGTGACAACTCATACTTCACATACACTGGAATCTATTGTGCTTACAACGGTCGGTAATCTCTCTACTACTGTTCTACCACCTCATCCGAATGATCAATCTTCGGATGAAGAATTATAGGTTTACATATCTAGGAGAAAGAAGAAGAATGAAGACTTACTTGATCTCAGGAATCTAATGGATGATACTTTGGTTATTTCGGGTAATGTTACACATCTCATCAATTTGTTAACTGACTCCCTACTAAGAACCAGAGGTAGAGACAAGACTAAATTTGGGCGTCTCTAATTATATGCATCTCTTCTATTTTTGGAATTTTGGGTGCATTGTATCGTATGAGTTGGGTGCTTTCTTTTGGGTCCACTGATACAACATGTTGTATCTTTTCCTTTTAATATATTAGCCATTGGATTTTTTTAATAATAATATATATATATATATATATATATATATATATTTGAAAGCCCCAAAACTAGAAAAAAATTATAAAATATATTAGATATTAAAATAAAAAGCCTAACAGTGTCGAAATACATAGTATCAGGTGGCTTGAGAGCGACTCAATTTGGTCTTGTCTCTACCTCTAGTCTTAGGGAAGGAGCAAACTAATAAGTTGGTAAGATGATTGTCATTGCCAGTAGTAATCAATGTATCATCCAATATGTTCCCGAGTTGGAGTCGACATCCATTCTTCTTCCTTCTGAAATAGATCTGTCATTCCTCATCCGAAGAATTAGTCTGATGAGGTGGTAGAGCTGAACCAGAAGGAATACCAACCGTAGTACCCACAATAGGTTCTAGTATATGTGAAGTATGAGTTGTCTCTACACTGGATACTTCCTGAAGAAGTGGAGCTACGAGGCTCAACTGATTATCAGTTTGAACACTATCATTTGTAGATAATAGTCCATCAATATTGTTTTCTATGGGGTTTGAAGGTGTCAGCATCAGAACACTCGCAGTAACAGTAACAGGGCAATAAAATCAGACACCAAAGTTTGTCATGTGGTAGCTTTCTCTCCAGGTGGTACAGATATATCCTAAGAATCACCCTTATTCACTTGATCTTTAGATTTCAAATTAAGGTGAAACTTATGACATTTATCAAGAGTATGCCCCAACATCTTACAATGAGAACAATAAGAAAGTTTATGCTCCATGACGATTTGTTGTCAATATCTGTTATGCGTTGTGCCCAAGCAGACTTCAGTAACATTAGGCAAAGTAATATCTCTTTCCACAAGTATTCTGGCTACAAAAGGTCTGTGATAAGGTTGAAAATGGGTAGATCTAGCTTCATAGGGTCCTCAAGTGAGGCACCAATAGAGTAGAGAACCTGATGATGAAAAAGTGCAGCTTGAGACGAGGTAGACTAAAACATTCCGGTACAATAGGAGGTTCATGATTGGGGTCAAAATCAAAAGATCGCTTGAGTAGCTTCATTGGTTTACCAGCAATGTTAAGATATTTTTTGGAGAAAATATGAGTGTAGTCTTCAGACACGGTTAACTGAATCAAAACATGTCTTCCTTCCATGAGCCTCACTTTACACTTTCCTGTTAATTTGAGGTCATCAAAACTTTTTCTGATAACTTTTATAGTTGGGTGGCCCCACTGAAATTTCTCAATGAGAGCAAATTTGAATTTGTTATTCAGGGTTGAAATTTCTAACCCAGAGAAAAATAGTGCTGTCTTCACACTCTTCCAGCTTACATTCTTAGTAAAGGGGCAGTCACATGTACCATCACGATTCTTCTTATAACTTGAGGGGAAGACAACTGTCGTCTCCCCCTGATAATTACCCACAACGTGGGCAAAAGAGGTTTTACCGGGCTCAACCGAAGAAGGAAGCTCCATCACAGCAAGTCACAGTAAGGGAGAAGAGCTGTAAGTCGGACAGAAGAGGTCTGGGGTGATGCTGCGCAGAAGAGAGGAAACGCAAACGACTGCGCGGAAGAATTCGCACAGAGGATGTCGCAGATAACAGAGGACGCCGCAGAAGACTCATGGACACTTCAGCGATCCCTCAGAGACACACACGACGCCTTAGAAGACTCGCAAACACTTAAGCGATCTCGCAGACATGCGCACGACGCCCGCACGGACGCACTCCCGCAGTAGATGCCGAGCTGCGAGGATGATGATGCGCGAAACAGACGAAGAGATCGAGCATGAGCTAGAAACCAGAGTTCGTCATAACGGTGAAACCCTAGAAAGCTGATATATATATATCTG